GGGCAGAGCAGGGCAGAGGGGAAACCGGGCTAAAGCGGGGAGAGGTAAAAACCCAGCGGAGAGGCGGTGCTCAGGGGAAAACCGGGGAAGCGGGGGACAAGGGCTGGGTGAAAACCCAGGGGTGGGGGCAGCGGGGCTGAAGCTCGAACGGGAGGAGGGGGCCCCGCCAGGTACAAATGGGGACGTGCGAGGCCTGCGGGGGGAACACTGGCCGGTAAAATCCAGGGGGAGAGGAAGTGGAGGGAAGCCGGGTGGCGGTCAAGTGGGGATGTGAGTAAAAATGGGGGGACACGGCGAGGGGAGGGCCCGAAGGAAAACCGGGCGGGACGTGCTAAAAGGTACAGGGATGGGGAAACTGAGAAGAAAATGCGGGGGGGGACCAGGGTGAAAACTCGAGTGGGTTGGGAACGAGGTCAAAGGACGGGGGAGTCGGAAGGAGACTGTTCTAACCGCGATACCCTCAGCTGCCCCAATCCCCTAAAAATAAACTTGCTCTCTGGGTCTACCAGCGCATCCTCAAACACGGCTCGATTTGGTCCAGGGTAGGCGGCCTCGTGGAGGACTGCCCGAAATGACCGTTTTTCTCATTGTCCAGTCCCTTGTGGTTGTCAGGGGCTTTGGGGTTTCTCAATGGGCTCCGCTCATTGTCCCCAAATGTTCCCCCTCCTCCCCCACTCGAGGTGGCCCGGTCCGTTCCCTCCTCGGTCCCGGGCCCGCGCTCTTCCAGCCGCAGTTCTTGGTGTCAGTTTCAAGTCCCTTTCCCGCCTCTCCTCTTCCTTCGATTCACTCCAGGCGTCTTCTCCGTTTCCCTCCCACAGGCCCCGAGTTCCTGACCGCAGTGGTCCCGTTTTAACCTGTTTGCCTTTTAACCCAACCTGTTTCCAACCATACCTCAGTTTCCAGGTTCTTTTTCACCGCGATCCCTCCGTTTTAGTGTTTTGCTTTTTGCCCAGGCCTCTGTTCTGTGAACCCCCAATTACCTCTGTCCTCAGGGAGTCTGGTCCCCTGAGCACCTGCTTCCTGTGCCCTGTTTGGCCCAGGCCTCCTGGGTTACACTCCTGCTCAGAGGCTTGGCCATTTTTGCACCCCCACTGTTTCTCGACCCTCCCCCGCTTTTTCTCTGGCTGCTTGTCGCTCTCTCACCGTCCACTTTAACCGTGGCACGCCCCATTTCCACCTTACTCTTGGCATTTCTTTTTGTCTCCAGGTTAAAAAACAAACCCCCAAAATGCCCAATGTACCCTTCCCTGAGCCTCCACTCTGGCTCTGTTGAGTCTCTGATCTCCAGCCTCTGAGGTTCCCGTTTTATCCTCCAGCCTTATCATCATTATTCTTATTCCCTCCACCCCTTCTTACTTTTCTGTTTCCCAATTTTCTCCTCGATATCCATCTTTTTAATCGCCCAAATTCCCGATTCCCTATTCAGGTTCTCATTTTTATGTGTTCATTTTAGCATGTGCAAATCATGGAAAAAAATAAAAGGATAAGAGATAATATTGTTACCAATATTAGGAAGCTAGTAAAAAAAAATTTTTTTTTTGGCAAACTCATTTTTCCAGATCTTTCCATTTGTTAATCAGATCTAAATCAAAATCACAAAAGCATCTATTTAAAAATAACTTTATTACATTATCTTTTAAAAATCCACATGATAGCCTCAGAATTTCTCCCGACCTCCCCCTACCAAATATTAAAATGTAAATAATTCAGAGGGATCTGCTTTTCTTTTCTTTCTTTCTTTTTTTTGGCAGCTGTCCCTGGCCAGTCCTGTGGTGAAAAATATCGGTTGGCACTTATTGCATCATGATAAATTTTACCCAGTGAGGATGATTTTCCAGGTCTCAGTGCATGGGTTATGGAAACTTTCCATCCTGTGTTTTCCTGCTGCAATTATAGGGCCTGTATGTTCTTGTGAGAATTGGAGCTAATAAAGCCACAGGATTGTGGAGGCTTCTCCCCAGAGTCCATCAGGTTTTGAGGAGAAGAAATCACCGTTGTCATAGTCCTGAAGTGTTTATCTTCCTGGTTCTGATAAGCAGATCTCATGGTCTCTGAGTTAACAATAAGTGCAGATAAGATTTGTTTCAAAGCACAATGTAACAACTTGGACTTTGCCACACAAACTCTGTAATCCACTGTCAACATGCTTGTGGATTTGGGCATGGATCATTCCAAAGAAAAAAGCCTTCATTCTTAAAAAAAAAAAAAAAAAAGAAATCCTTAAAACTTGACGACTAACATCCAGTACCTGGGCTTTTCATGAACCCAGGATATGAATGTGCACACAGCAGTCACAGCTCAACCTGTCAGGGGTTTATAGTGTTTGGCATCAAGACCTTGAAGCTCCCATTTGCTAGTGGAAAAACCCTCAAATATTTCCTATCATCAGGTGTGTGTGAAGAGAAGAGGAAGTTGTGGAAAACATCCTAGTGATGTTTAAAAAAATGTTCTCTGTGTTCCCAGCTAGGAATTTATTTTCTCCCCTCCCCCCGCCCCCACATTTTTTAAAATCTGGTTGCCTCTGAATAGTGGTCTTAAATTACAGAATTTAGTCTTGGAAGACTACAGGAGAGACCAGCTCAGTCTAAATTGGCTTTAGAAGCAACCTGAGTATCCCATCTGAAATGACACTAATGTACACTGTTGAGAATGGTTGAGTACATGCGGTACCATGCAGCAGAGAGACCTAGCCACCAGAGAACTGCAATTCACAGCTGTTCCTGAGGGGTGGAAATTGCAGCCAACTCCTGAGCTCTCAGTGTCTTGAGCAAGGGACAGTTTACTCCCTTCATCCAAGAAAACAGACTTCCCCAGCCACACCTGCAGGGCTACTTCGGATAACCAGCTTCTCATCCTAGGCATGGATCATACTAGTCCCTGGTATTGGAAAAAGGATGTTCTCCTTTAAGCCTTAGGGCTTGCCCACTAGAGCAGGATATGCAACTGAAAGAGTGCAAATTCAAGTCAGATTTTCATGTTTAGCACACATCCATGGCACCCTTAAAAGACTCCTGACTTTAAGAAATTTGGATGAAACCAGAAAAAATAAATATCAAAACTATACAAGGTTCTACCGGAAGCATCAGCAGCCTAAACTCATCACGTGGTATTTTTATTTGAAACTTAACGTTATTGATCATTGTATGACCCTCAGAGTATCTTTTAAGAAGTAGGAAGGAAGCAAGTTTTCCCACTCCCATTTTCAAGACAGGAAAACTGAGGCCGGGTGAACTGGTGTGCCCAAGGATACTCCATTATGAAATGTTTCTGCTTCCTTCTTTCCAAGCAACAGGAGAAGTGAAGAATGGGAAAGTCTGCCAGCTAACTGGGCATTGCCTAGGAGGCTTTTCTATAAATATGAGGTTCTGTAAAATGTGAGGTCATGATGAAAGGCACTTCCTCTTGTCAGCCCCTACCTCTTTTGAAAAAAATTGTATCTCCAGGAAAACAAAAATGGTTAGGTACGCTCTGTGATACCCTCGTCTGAAAACATTATATAAAGCAGAATGAAAGGCACAGGCAGCAACTCGTAACTTACAGTTAACGTTTTTTCTTCCACTGGGGAAGGTAAAGAAGATAAGTAACCTCCATTGAGCACCTCCTAGTCACATTTATATCCCTTACCTCATTGAATGCTCACCACAAGCCTGAAGACAGGTGTGATTTCACCTGTTTTACAGATGAGGAAACAGGCCAGAGAAGAAATAAAGTAACACGCCCTAGCCCACAAAACAGGGAAGTAGAAAAGCCCAGATCCAAGCTCAGGTGTTTCTGACTCCAAAGCCTGACCCGAAGTGCGTTCCTCCAACTTGCAGTGGTAGCTGCAACCTCCCTTTTTCCAGGGAGCTGACATTTGCCTGGTTCCTTGGTCACGAGCTCACGTGGCAGTGATATGTTTCCATATCACCCTGCAATATTCCCTTTCATGCTGGGGCAAGCTGGCTACAAACCTTTAATAGCAGCAAAGGGCACCAAGATCAAGCGCTTCCCCGACTCCTGCTCCCTCCTAATCAGTATCTGTCACAGTAGGTCGGCCTAGACAAAGCCAGAAGTCACAGCAAAAGTAGAACCTCAAGTGCCAAATGCAGCCTTCCTGTGCACACTGTTCCTTCCCAAAGCTTCTAAACATCGTGGAGAAAACTCACAGCAAGCCAGGCTTTTCTTAAATGGAAGGAAAGATGTGTGTGTTTTTTCTTTTTTGGCTGAGAGACTCAGATGTTAATGTAAGCCCCCAGCAGGGGCATAGGTCGAGTCAAAGCTGAATGAAGAGCTCATCTTCAATGTAGCTTTCCAGCTTTTCAAGACAACACAGCAGTGGACAATCTTCTTCAAACTGGCCTGCTTTCTTCTTGAATGATGTCACTTTGCTCCTCACTGCTGTCATCTGCATGGAGGACAAATAAGTCTGATGCTGAGTGACTGCAAGAGTGATCACTATTTCTATTTCCCAAGGTTGGAGTGCAGTGGTGCAGCCTCAGCTCACCACATCCTTGACCTCTTGGGCTCAAGGGATCCTTCCGCCTAAGCCTCCTGAGTAGCTGGGACTACAGTCGCACACCACCATGCCCAGCTAATTTTTGAAGTCTCACTATGTGGTCCAAGATGGTCTTGAACTCCTGGGCTCAAGCAATTCTCTGGCCTTGGCCTCCCAAAGTGCTGGGATTACAGGTATGATGTCCGGCCCGTCCCAGTGATTTCTAGTCTTTTCCTGGTGAGCCACAGATTTGTATTTCATGAAGAAAGGCAGGCAGAGTGCATGCCCTTTTTACTTGTTTTCGTCATTCAGAACCCTCTAGGCATGCTTGATGTTGGCCACCTTTCATGCTCTCAGCCCAGGCCACTGCCCTCACCTGAAACATCCTCTCTTCTTTCTGTTTAGCTCAACCCAACTGTCCTTAAAGATTTGTCTCATAGGTTAGGTGTGATGGCTCATGCCTGGAACTCCAGCACCTTGGAAGGCCAATGCAGGATCTCTTGAGACCAGGAGCTCGAGATCAGCTTAGACAACATAGAAAGACCTTGTTTCTACAAAAAAATGAAACGATTAGCTGGGCATGGTAGAACACATCTGTAGAAGAGGCTGAGGCAGGAGGATCACTTGAGCCCAGAAATTAAGGCTGCAGTGAGCCATGATCATGCTACTGCACTCCAACATGGGCAACAGAGCAAGACCCTGTCTTTAAAGATGAAAAAAACTTTACCTCATGTCCCACTCTCTTCCATAAAGCTTCTCCTGACCAACACCCCCCCCCCCCCGGGTTCTTACCTTTCTCTCAGGTCCTATCATTTTTAAACGTTTCATCCAATAGGCAACAAATCAAATTCCTCCTCTGACAGCTCCTCTCCTGCTCCAAGTGCTGGTTAAGTCTTGCTTCTGCCTCCATTTCCCCCATGTGTTTTAGCCTGTTCACTTTAAATGGTCTTGTAAAGCTCCCTGCACCCAGACACTATTGGTCTGTCTTTTCTATGCCACAACAATGCCAGTACTGTGCCTCTCCCAGAGCAGAACCTTGATAAATATGTCAATGTGTTGTTGGGTGATAGAAGAGCCTCAAGTTCTACACTAGCCTTTAGCTGATGTCTTCCCCAGCCTTTAAAAAATCAAACTCACCCTTAGAAGATTTCCTACTGGAAAGCTCACTGCAGCAGTTGAGAGGGAGTTTTTTGGGTGTGTTTTGTTTTTCATGTTTTTTAGAGACAAGGTCTCACTATGTTGCCCAGGCTGGTCTCCAACTTCCGGGCTCAAACAATCCTCCCACTTTGGCCTCCCAAAGTGCTGGGATTACAGGCAAGAGCCACTGCACCCAGCCCAGAGTTTTTAAGGAAAACAAATTTACCTTGCAGATCCTGGAATCCATTTCCCATCCGTTCTATGTTCCCATTCACCAGTGCGGTCACTCTATAAATGTGGTCATGCTTGGGTATTTCTTCTGGCAACCCTTCTCTGTCATTTGCTCCCTCCTCTTCCTCTTCTGCCACATCTTCTTCTACTTCCTCCTCCTCTTCCTCTTCTGAATCCACCAAAACCATGACATCACCCATGTCTTGTCCCCTAATTTGCAAAGGGGAAAGAATAATCAAGAAGATATCGTGTTTTCCCGCTCTCACTGAATAGGAAACACTTGACTCTTTGCAACCCCATTAGTAATATGGAAAATTCCTCTTGCACTCAGCTTCGTTAAGTCATGAGATGACGGGGTGGTTGTAACCTCAGAGAGAGTTGCTACACAGATGATCCTATCTTGTTCTGGGTATGTTTTACAACTCCTGCCCTGTTCCTCGGGCAGGTCACCACCCTGTCCCAGGCATCTACCATGTCAGTTCCCCTCACAACACACACACAAGTGCTGTTCCTTTTCTGAAATGCCTTTATTCTGCTCCACTTGCTGAAATCCCTCTTCCTCCTCATGTGGAGCCCAGGTCAAGTCTTCTCCTTCCCGCTGAAGCCCTGAACTACAATTACATTTGGAGTCCATACCCAGTGGCTTAGTATTTTATTGCTCTGTATCTTATCTATCGCTAGCTCTGCTGACCCGGCCAGACTGTACATTTCTTTTGTTTGTTTGTTTTTTGAGTCAGGGTCTCACTCTGTCACCTAGGCTGACAATCATGACAATCACGGCTCGGCAGTCTCAACCTCCTGGGCTCAGGCGATCCTTCCACCTTAGCATTCTGAGTAGCTGGGAATACAGGCGCGCACCACTACACAGGCTAATATTTTATTTTTATTTGTGTAGAGATGAGGTCTCATGATGTTGCCCAGACTGGTCTCAAACTCCTGGGCTCAAACAATCTGCCCACCTTGGCCTCCTAAAGTGCTAGGATTACGAGCGCGAGCCACCACACACAGCTCATTTCTTAAGGAAGGAAAAATGCATGCCACGGGTCAGTCACAGTCCTAGAAGCGTTACATTTTCACCGTATCCCCACAGTCCCCCACAGTCCCCCTCGGTGAAACAGATCAGGAGATTGAGGCTTGGGGAGGAGGCCCATGGGCACAGGGCTTGGAAATGGCACAGCTCCAATTTGAACCCAGGTCTGCTGATTCCAAAGCGTTGTCCCACTGTGCCACGCTGCTGCCTGTGAGAAATGAGCCCTGGGAGTGACAGACTCACCGGGCATGGCACTCTAATATGACACAGTCAAGTTACCATGTTCCAACAAAAGAAAGTCCCAGAATGATGCTATCTGGTCATTATGAGTGGGAAAGAACTATTTCTCTGTAGGATTGTGGAGAAGTATTCTTTGCTCTCACCCAGAATCTCCTTAGGAAGTGAAACACACACGTTCCAATTGGTTACTTTGCCCCTAATGGGATTTCCTTTTGGGAGGGGCTTCTGGGCATGCTCAAACTAGTTTTCTAAAACATTCTGTAAGATTGTAACTTATTGTTCCTTTTAGCTGTTTTTCAAAAAGTAAATAAAAGGAATGCATTCATGACTAGGCTCAACAGGTACACATTGTCTTTATATCCTAGTGACAGACGCAGTGTGCCCAGCCCTGAGGTTTGGCCTCGTAAAGGAGCAGACTTTGGAATCACTGGACCTGACTCTGAAGGCAGTCACTGCCATTTACATCCTGGATGAGCTTACAGAAATTACTTCACTGTGCTTCCATCTCCTTGACTGGAAAACAGATGCCACCCCCACTCTGAAAAGGCTGTGAAAGGACTTATAATAAAACCCCTGGACCAGTGTCTGGCATGTGGCAGTTTCTCAGTGGTAGTTACTATTATTGTTCTTATGAAAGGAAACAGAAATGAGGACAGATCATGAAAATTGGAAATCATTTTTTTTGTTTGAATCTGGGGAACACTCACCTGAAAGTGTTTCCTACTGAAGAGAGAGAGAAAAAAACGTTAATATGTAGTAACATCCGCGTCACCCTCACAAGTTCTTCATCAATCTGACATTTACAAAAGGAACAAATTAGAACACTGACCCAACACGGCAGGTGATAGAGTGTTCAGGGAGGATACTTAGATGCCTCATTATTACACATCTTGACCCAATGATGAAGCCTATAGAATGGAACTTCAGGTGGGAGCAAGACAGGGGCCTCCTTCCCCCACCCACACCTTTTTTTTTTTTTT